TGTAAAACCTTCAACAACTGGTCTCCTCAGGTCCTCTAAAACCTTCAACAACTGGTCTCCTCAGGTCCTCTAAAACCTTCAACAACTGGTCTCCTAAATTCTTGTAAAACCTTCAACAACTGGTTTCCTCAAGTCCTCTAAAAGCTTCAACAGCTGGTCTCCTCAGGTCCTCTTAAACCTTCATCAACTGATCTCCTAAAGTCTTGTAAAACCTTCAACAACTGGCCTCCTCAAGTCCTGTAAAACCTTCATCAACTGGTCTCCTCAAGTCCTGTAAAACCTTCAACAACTGGTCTCCTCAAGTCCTGTAAAACCTTCAACAACTGGTCTAGACAGTTGTTTAAAGAAGAGCAGGTGTTTCACAGAGTAACGTGGACCTGGCCAAACTTTAGAGACATGTTGACATCAGACGTGACATTATTCTTGGTACAATGTCCTATTTTAACCATTGTTATGTTGTTTTTGTGGTTTGATTATGAATACAATTGGGTTTTATAAGTTCATGAGTGAATCATTGCATTCATTTTTTTCCCATTTTTTTTACATCTTACACAACATTCTGTTTTCAGAATTACGGATGCAAAATTATCTTCTGACCTTGCATGATCTACTGGAGCTTGAAGAATGTCAGTCGGCTCCAGTACTACCAGATTGAGGAAAAACCATGTTAACGGTTTCCTCTGTCTGTGTGAGTTCATCTGTCTCAACAAAATAGCTCATAAACCAAAACGTGCAATTTAATAAAATTTTCAGAAAATAATCACTGGACGTAAATCCACAACTAGATAATTTTGGGGTCAACCCAATTCAAAATGGCTGCTTATTCTACATGCAAATATTCAACACAAAAATGCTTAAAAGTAAGTCAATTTTGCAGCCAACAAGCTAAAATGTGGTGTGGTTGCAGGTGAGTCATTAATATATCTTACTCTGAAAGAACATTCATATGAAACTTTCCAAGATGATATTTTCAGAGTTTAACTAAACTATCATTTCTCATCGTAAGATGATTTCAGTCCAACACTCTGGCATGAAAACACTGGAAGATACTGGATAAATACTTCAAGGATAAATACTTCATTTTACAAGTTTTTAACTTTTCACGTGATTAGTTTGGCCTTTAGTCCTTCAAAAACTTCACATTAAATATAAAAGTCCAGTTTAAACCTTTTTTTTTTTGCTGTTGTTTAAACAGTTTTTTTTTAAGAGATGAGCTAATAATAAACAGGAATATGATACAAAAACAATAGTTTACATCTATTACATATGTCAACAATGTCATAAATATCATATTTCACTAAAATAATCCATTAAACATTACAATCTATTTAACAAGCCTCCATCAAATCATCTTGGCTACACTTTAAACGTGCCCAGGTCGAACCTCGGAGCTCAGCCTGAATATTATGCGAGATGCCTGTGAGCAAATCTGACCTTCAGTCTTTGTCATATCAAAACAACTCTTTTATCTGTAGAGGGTGGACAATTCCAGCCAAGAAAAATCTAATGACAGCTTTCGAGCTGCCATCTTGCTTTTTTCTGCAAAAGAAACACGTCTCTGAGAAAGCTAATCTCTCTTTGTCATCATAAAGTGAAGAAAGTCCACAGGAGACTGACTGGTTTCAAAATGCTGATGTCTGTGTTGTGTGACTAATATGCGGTGTAAGCCTAAATAATCTTTCATTTACGTCAGTTTCTTTACCCCGTCTTTAGAATAGAGGGTAGCAGGATTGATGTTAAGAAACAAGAGGAAGAGCAGAGTTTAGGATATATTTGTGTAATAAGAAGCAAAGGACTATACAATAAGTGATAATATGAGCTGCTGCCAAGACAATGACATTAACACTCAGACCTTATCAAGGGCACTGTCAGCATCTCTCCCTCTCACACACTTGCAACATGCGCACCCATCCAGGGAGAGGGGCTGGCTGAGAGACAAAGGCAGAGAGACGGAGAGGAAGCACGGAGCATTATCTTGATGAAACAGCGCTTGATACAGTGGCCCGAGCCAACCTGAACACTGCTCTGCTTTCTTTTAATGGAGATTACACAGTCAAGGTCCAGCCTAAGCTCATCTTATTTAACACTGCACACAGCTACATCATCGTGTGTGTGTGGGTGGGTGTAGGTGTGTGTTTGGGACAGTGTCTCACCACACATCAAACATCATTACCACACACCTTCTGACCTCAGATCTACCAGCCAATCAGATCTCGCACACTCTCGCGGAGCACATGGAGGCCACAGGGTGCAGCCCACCTGGAAATCATTCCACCATCACAAGGTCTACAAATCACATGTACAATTCAGGGTTTTAGAGGCAACACATCGAAGGCTTCTTCAATTACACCCTTTGAAGGGCTTCAGATCATTAGTTTCTAAAATCTTGACTCAGCGGTAGGGGGTAACGAGACATTTGCCGCACCAGGCGAGACTTTAACAGCATTTTTTAAGAAAAAAGCTTTTGTCACAAACTCTTCTGAATGACCTTTTTCCTGCCCGCGTTCTTATTAACTCAACAATGTCCAACTCACTCTGCTGAGGAAAGAGAAATTTAAAACTTCATAATTTATATATATATATATATATGTGTGTGTGTGTGTGTGTGTGCATGTGTAGTTAAAAAAATCATACAGAAATATGAAAATTAATTTTGCATGAAATAATTTTGTCAGAATAAAGAGTTTACTTTTTAAATGACTTTTCTCATTTATTGTCCTTTATATTGTCTTTGTATCCATTCCTAATGAAAACTTTCACAAAAGACCATCCAACAGCTTATAAAAAACTATCCCGTGACAATCCAAACAGCTACAAATCATTCATCTTATAATTACAGAAGAAAACACACAAAGATATATATAATGACTAAAATTAATTGAGGCAGACGCTCTGCAGCTATGATTTTTGCTGGAAAAACATTTGTCTAATAAAATTTGAATTGTTGAAACTCTCAGAACTGACTTGACCTACAAGTCCAATTTCTTTATTATTTTTGTCATTAATAGAAATTTTGTTCAATCTGATGAACCGTTTGCATGGAGGAGGGGGGGGGGCTCTCGGTGAACCGTTCCGTCAGCTTCACTGTCATTGTCTCAACTCAAAGCCAAGTTCATCTTTATTTTATCAGCTTCAAAGTCAAAAAATTACATTCTGAGCTCAGCTCAGAGTCTGCTCTGTTTAAAATAAATACATGACAGACTCTTCCTGTCACATGCAGCTGCAGAGGATGAGTGTTGGGACAGTGTGGTCCTGCCTGAACTGCTGTCACACAACAATTTAAAGTGCTGGAGATCTTCAGTGCTGCTTTCACCAGACATGAGCATGCTGACTGCAACTTGTTGAGCTCAACAAAACTCTCCCGACTTTAATCTTGCACGAACTCGTGGCACAAGATCTCGTTACACCCCTACTCAGCAACTCATAAATTTAGCTTCTATGCATACTGAAGGGACTCTGGCAGTCTAAAAACCAGCCAAAGACTTGAGTGAATTTGTAGACCTCAAACTCACTCTTTTCTCTACAGCCTCATACCATACAGTTGTCTGTAGAGCTACAGATGTCCTTCATCTTTCTACGGTATAGTTCAGGTTATACATACCTCCTTGTTTACATATTTTCTTGCCCGGTTTCCTGGCACATTCCTTGGATATTCTTTTGACTGTAAAATGAATAGAAAACTAAAGAATAACATGGAGCCCCTGGACGCGCAGTGCACACAGGAGCTGGTACGCATGCACACACTGACACACGTCTCATACACAAAGCTGATTGACTGAAAGAGACTTAGAGAGGAAGGAGAGGAGAAACAAAAATGGAGAGGGGGAAGAATGAATCACAGCAGCTCAATCAGAGCAGTATTCAGTCTATCAGTCAGCCAGCCACTCGTTCAGTCAGCCAAATCAATCGGTGATGATCATGACAACGACTGTCTTGTTTAATGAACTGTGGCCTTTGTGGCAGAGCACAATACGTTATGATGAGAAACAGACATGAGAAGAAGGGGAAGGGGGTGGCAGCAGGGGTAACTATGGCAGTGAGGAGAAAGAAGAGCAGGAAATGGGAGGACAATCGGTTTGAGGAGCAATAAGAAGAGTATAAAGGTCAAACGGGATGGAAGTTGGAGTGAAAAGACAGGAGCAGCTGTGGATGGATATTAAAGGTGCGTAAACACGTGTGTACATTGCTTTCTCTTTCATAAATCACTTCCACACACTCAGCTTGTGTAAACATTGTCATGCACATTAAACATGCACAAGGTCATGCTTTCTCTCTACTGGCGGACAGAGACAGAGAAGTACACTCACACTGATCACATCACTCCCAAACAAGACAGATTAACTGTAGCAAACGGTTGTGGGTTTAATTTCATCCATCCAGCTCACAACTCTACCCACAACCATCCTATCCTGGGCCTGCAGGCTAACTCACCATCCTCAGTTGGAACGTAGATGTTGAGAAAAAGACAGTCCTCACTTTGGTCCTGAACATAAGTGGAGACCACATCGATGCTATTGGTAAACCACACTGGCAGCATTACATCCGGCAGGCGTCCCTCCACAATGCTCTGAGGACACACGGGGGCAAAGTGCGTGGCGTTGCGGATGTCTGACCATGGCACTGGTGGCTCGGGAGGTTGAAAGCGGCGCTCACCAGTAGGCGGTGCGGCATACGGGACGCCAAGAAACTGGATGACCGGGCCGAGGATCTCATTGTTGAGCTCCTTCTTGATGCCACGCACCTTGCCGTTGACAGTGGTAACCACCGGATCATTCTCATCTAGTTTTTGAGCCACAACAGCAGACGGACAGGCCTGTAGAAGCAGGATTCCCATCCATATTAGTGTGGACATCCACCAGCCCATATCAAATGAACCTCCAAATTGCTCCGATCCGATCTTTCTGCTCTTGTTTTTGGTGGTTGGGATGAGCCCGGACCAAATTGTTGAATGGTGCCTCCACTGAGACATGGCTGCTGCTACTTGTTTGCTGTGTCCTCTTTTGTCTTTGATAGTTTTTAAAAATATATATTTCTCTATGTCTGACTTGTGTCCTGTAGCTTCAATCACAAAACCACAGAGACATACAGGCATAAGAGAGTGGGTAACTCCAGAGCAGACGATGGTTGTGAGTCTTAATGAGACTTTTTAAAAGCTAGTCAGTCCATACCACCCAGGGGAAAGAAGCAGACATTAATTTTCCTTCGATCCAGTGAAAAGACGTCCGACGAATATTCCTCACAATATGCAAAATACTCCCAAAAAGGATGCTGTCAACATCCTCTGTAGGAAAGATGAACCTTTTTGTCTTCAAGCATCATTGCACAAAATGTAGAAGACCTAGTCAGAGAGGAGGGTTCCCGTCTTTGTGATGTGAGCACACCGAAACAGAAGTAGGGATGCAGGGAGTGGGATGTTTATAGATGAATTTTGTAGACTGAAGTTCCACAGACTGTCCTCTGCAACACAGAAAGAAGAAAAAAACAGAAGTCAGCAACATTTCCAGTTCAGTGCCTTTTATTTCAGCTTTTTTTTTCCCCAACGCCTTTTATTGAACACTAAAAAAAATAAACCATTACCTTTAAATTTGTTTTGTAACAAAATGCGCAGACATCTATCAAATAAATGAGAATATATATTTACAACACGTGACAGTTGGCAATATTTCCACACAAGGGGTCCCTCAGTATGCATGGTTTGTCCAGCGTTTGAACGTGGCATAAATCAACAGCAACATTAAACCACTGACAGGTTTAATGACTGCTCTGCCGGGAAATAGTGTGGGTCCTTTAATTCTTCTGGATGTTACTCAGATATGCAGATCTTTATGGTCAAAACCTCCACACACCTCACCATGCCTTAAAGCTGCTTAAGAATGGCTCGAGGATCCCAGCAAAGAGCTACAGTATAATTCAGCAGGATTCAGGGTTGCACATGTTTTGTCTTTTGACTACTTCATGAACTTTGTGCTATTTTAACCCTCCAGTTATTGAATGTTCAGCTCCTTTGAGAAATGGATGCTATAAATTTGTTTCTTTGTAACATTTATCCTTTCCAAAATATTTCACTTCATTTACAAGAAATGTCATATAGAATAATATTAAAATGCACTGTCTCTTCAACTCTTACAAAAATATTGTCTTTGAAATCTACTTTAGCATACTTCTGCTAATACATACAGTCATTGCTAATACAATTGTTGCTACTACTAATACTATTAAATGGCCTTGCACCCCTTTATCTCTCCGAGCTACTGGAACCATACGTTCCCTCTTGGGCCCTGAGATCATCCGATCAGCTGCTTTTGGCTGTTCCTAAAACAAGACTGAAGCTCAGAGGGGATCGGGCATCGTCAGTCATGGGCCCCAAACTCTGGAACAACCTGCCCCCCAACATCAGGCAGGCCACCTCCCTTCCTCACTTCAAATCTCTACTAAAAACACATCTGTTCTCGCAGGCATTTCACACAGTGTGAGTTGATTTAGTGTTTTTTTGTTGTTGTTGTTGTTCTGTGTTCCTATGTTTTGAATGCTTTTATTAATTATTCAGTATTATCATTAGAGTATGGTATTTTTTAATTAATTTTACTCCCATTGTTGTTGTTGTTAAGCACTTTGATAACTGTTTCTGTTTTAAATGTGCTCTATAAATAAAGTTGACTTGACTTGACTACTAGTCCTAATGCTTGTTCTAATAATGCTAATGACGGTTTTAGTTAGCCATTTCCTACATTTAGCTTACATTCTGGTACTTTTCACTAGCATTTCACTGATTGTATTTTACGGTTTTGACAGTGTTTCTCTACTTTTCAGCTTTTTGACATCAATTCATCACTGTTACATATAATTATACTATTTTTGAATTTTACCTAAGGTTTTACCACTTTTAGCTAATGTTTTCATAGTTTTACCTAATGTTTAAAAACATTTAGCTGTCAGCTCAGTTTCCGACTCCAGTAAATTTTAAAAAAACTTTCACACCTGAACATTAATATTACATTATCTCAGAAAATGCTATTTCTCTAGTTGACTTAAGCTTCCGTTTACATCACCACAGCTAAATGCTGTGAAGCCCCACTTAGCAATACAACAAGCCACCCATTTTCATCACATCTGATATTTGTTCAAAGGCCATTTAATCTATAAAATACACACATGTTGTACTCTGTTGCTGCAAGAGTACACACTCAGCTCTGACAAAGCATTCTGGACTATTTACAGATACTAATTGTGCCCCGTTATTGGTGCATTGCTGAGGCTATGCATTTATTGTTTTTTACACTAACAGCACACAGGGGAGATATGTAAGTAATCATCAAAAAATGACAACCATGCAAGACAAGGGCAGCATTTGACAAGATTTGTTTTCATGTTAGCAGCAGAAATGCTAAAATCTTACAGACCACTCAGTATAAATGTGAATATACAGTAAAGCACTGAGAAAATACTGAATTTTTTATACCCAACTTAGCTGTCAAATATATATTAAACAGCCTGGTATGTAGCTGGTACTTATAGGATACATAGACCATTAGTACTGTTAGTAGCTGGTTTTTTTTTATCATGACCATACCTGGACCAAGTATGTGCCAGTTAAATACCATGTATGTAGCCAGTAATTACCACATATGTGCCAATACATACCTGGTACATACACAGTAATTACCATGTACAATCACTATAAACCAGGTATGTACCATGCAAGTATCAGGTATGTAGTAGGTAAGTACCAAGTAACTTCAAATAGGCATGAGGCAGGCTGCATTATTTATTGCTCACAATATAAAATGTAAGTACCGGTAGATAACTTCACTTATTGGCATTTATAATTTATGTGACTGTTTCTGTTCAGGTGTCTTGGCAATATATGAATTAACTAAATTGAATTGAATTGATTTGTACAGGCAGCATGGTGGCGCAACTGGTAGAGCTGCTGCCTCTCAATGAGCAGGTCCTTGGTTCAAATCCCGGTCCGGAGGCCTTTCTGGGTGGAGTTTGCATGTTCTCTCCGTGCATGCATGGGTTTCCTCCGGGTACTCAAGTTTCCTCCCACAGACCAAAAAAACATGCATGTTAGACTGACTGGTAACTCTAAATTGTCCCTAGGTGTGAGTGTGAATGGTTGTTTGTCTCTATGTGTCCCTGTGATGGACTTGCGACCCGTCCAGGGTGTACCCCGCCCCTCGCACTGTGATTGTCGGACATGGGCACCGGCGACCCCCGTGACCCAAAATGGAAGAAGCAGGTTAAAGATAATGGATGGATGGATGATTTGTGCAGATGTTATCCTGTGCATCTGTATATTTTGAATTTTTTTAAGCTGTATAGATTTTCCAAAAGTATCAAAATAACCACAAAACAAATATATTTTATCAATAAAGAGATAAAAATGGGAAAGGGAGACAGTCCAACGGTATTTCATTTAAACAACAAAAGCATTTCTTTTCAGCTTTTTTTAAGCTAGTACCTATTATGTTATTGACAGCACGAGTGCTCAGTGGTTAGCACTGTTGCCTCACAGCAAGAAGGTCCTGGGTCCAATCCCCCGGTTGGACCTGGGGTCTTTCTGTGTGGCGTTTGTATGTTCTTCCTGTGCTTGCATGGGTTTCCTCCGGGTACTCCGGTTTCTTCCCACAGACCAAAAACATGCATGTTAGGCTGCCTTCAGTCCCAGACCTCCCTTGCGAAAGATATCTGTGATCTCAATGGGATTTGCCTGGTTAAATAAAGGTTAATAAATGCTTTGGTGTTGAAGGTCTATTCCAACTAAATGAGAATAAAATAAATAAATAACAATAAAGTGCTATGTGTTGTCATCATTGTATGTTCCCATACAATGGCAAAATTAGTTCTCTGCATTTAACTCATCACACCTGGGATACACCCAGGTGGAGCAGTGGGCAGCTATGCAAGCGCCCAGGGAGCAATTAGGGATTGGTGTCTTGCTCAGAGACACCACGACATATGGGAATGAATGGGGATCGAACCTGGGGCTTTCAGGTCCCAGGTCAGCTGCCCTGCCCCAACTCACACCACCCCCCCAAAATAACTTTAACAATACAAATAACAAAAAATAACTGTAGGGAAATATTGTTGCTATTACAAAGTGAATGTTGATCATTGCACAGGACAGTTGATCAGTCCAATGTATGGCATAAGATAATAAATTAAACAAAATTGTTCTCCCATCTCCTTTTTCCAACAATCCATGTGATTCTCCTTTTCAACAAATTGCCTTTGTCTTTACAGACCTTTTCATGAGTTCCAGTCTCTTGAGTCTATCAGTGGACATTTTACACACACGCAATGTTAAAATCGGTGAAGAAGCTGCCAGTTTTTCCTCCAAAGGTCGGAGAAAAGGATTGGTTTGTTTTAGATCAATAGCAATAAAATTTCCCCCACTTGCTGACACACAACCTCAGACACACACACACACAAGGGTGCTGCAGCGACAAGTCATTTAATTTCCTGAGCTCGGCCTCTTGTCTCAGGGCTGCTTTTCAATCATCGCCCCCTCCGATACACACGGACAAAACATGCATACAAAACACATTATCTGTAAAGTCTGCATCTTTGTTTCTGTATTGTCAAAACAAGTCTGAAAAAACACAGTTATGATTTGTTGTGGCTTTACAGCTGACAAAATGTCTCCGGTTTTAGTCATTTTTAAAGCTGATAACAATGATTAAATTATGAACTTACACAGCATTTCATTCAGCCTTTTCATTGCCTGTGAGAGCTCCATATAATCTATATTTATAGCATATTATTAGTTAGACTGCTATGTTGATGCCAGAGGATGAAATTCCTTCTTAGCTGCTTTAAAAAGTCAGCAGTTTTCTTCTGTGTTCAGAGACAAGAACTGCAAAAGAACCCCCTTTTAGTTTAAAAAACTTAAGAGAAGGGTCTCTTTGGATCATGTCAACAAAGGAAACCTGTGTATTCACTCACATTAACAAAGGCACATTACAACCACCAGGTGGCTGAGAGGGACATGAGCATGTCTATTGTGATCCAACAGTATTGATTTCAATCACACAAACACCAGGTAAATAAGGTTTAAATTTTCTTAGAAAACATGCATATCACCCACCACCTATAATTCCAGAGTGTTGATCAAAGATCATCTTACGGTGACAAATGAAGGCGTTGTAGCCGTTGAGAGCTGTGATGTTCAGAGTATTTGTTGTGAATGACTCTTCTACAACCATATTCAATCTCAACTCTGCATTTGTAAAATTGACTGATTTAGAGCCATTTTAGTGTTGGTTAATGTCAACTAGCTGTATTAG